GACCCTGGCCTCAGTCTCAGAGCTGGGATGATAGGTTTACCCTACCCTGCCAGGTGCAGTTCTGAAAGACATTTTGTTGTACCTTCACTGTAAAGTATGCTACTCAGTAAGCTATTGATCAGCTTCATGGTCATGTAAGTGGGAATTGGTTTTCTTTTTTTTTTCCTTTTTCCTCTCCCACTGCTGTGTGATGTGGCCTTAGACAAACTCTCAAGGTTGGTCATGGTTATCTGTAAAATGGATGACTGTAAAGGCTATGTGATAAGATTGTTGTAAAAATGAAATTTATGTTATCTATAAAACCCCGTAGCCCAGTGCCTGACAAATAAAAAGCATTCAAATCTCATTTTCTATCATCTGTCATTACAGATTCCAAGCCTTTCCTTCACTCAATGAGAACAACAAATAGAAAAGCACCACACTTAATCTTGTCTATTATATTACATCTAAATGCATTCTGGTACTTCAGGCCTAGGGCAAGTCCTTAGAGAACCAAACATTTGAACACATCTGTAAGAATTACTTATAATTAACATGCAAATTGTTATAATACACTATTTCAAACATAAAATATTCTTCTCTAGTGTTTAACATTTTGCATAGAAATTTGTTCTCCTAATTGTTTGCCTTAAGTTTTCTAAACCAGAAAACCTTATCTTTAATTACCATTTATAGAAATTATTGGTATCTCAACTGATGTCTTTTGATGCATTTGGGAAGGTTCAATGAATCGATTTCCTGGGTAGAATTGTAAACTGTGAATAAAAATTCTCAGTTGCTTTGTTTTTTTTGTAGTTGAAGCCACTGACAGGTGAATAGTTCTTCGAAAGCAAGTTAGTTACAGGATAGAACTTATCTAGTGTTTGAAGAATAATAGCCCTAATAGCCCTTGGAACTTTAAAGACCAGAGTAACTTATAAACATGAAGAAGGCATTTATTTTTTCTGTTAAATGATTTTCATTTTGTTAAGTCCAGAAGTGGTTCAATGTTACTGGTTATTTGTTTTTCCATGTGCGAGTATGATGTTTGTATGGTGTATGGTGTATGCAAATGTTTGTATGGGTATGTATGCCCGTGCCTGTGCGTGCTCTTAGAGGCCAAAGGAAGGCATCGGTTGCCCTTCTCTCTTATTCTCCACCTCATTCCTTTCAGGCAGAGTTTCTCACTAAACCTGGAACTCATGTCTGGCAAGCTCCAGAGATTTCCTGTCTCTGCCCTGCTCAGTGCTGGAGTAACAGATGCAGGTGGTGGGATCCAAATCCTGATCCTCTTGCTTGTGTAACAAGCTTTATTTGCCAAACCATCTGTCTGACCCATTTCTTATTATTTAGTGTCTCTTCTTACATGCTTCCCAATTTGTGTGTGTGGGTTCATGTGTGCGTGTGTGTGTGTGTGTGTGTGTGTGTGTGTGTCTGAGTGCACACACTTATGTGCTGGGAACAAAACCCAGGGCCTTGCTCTTGCTAAGCAAGTGCTCTACCACTGAGATAAATCCCCAGCCCAGTGTTTTGAAACATTTAAAACTGAATTTAAAATATAATGCATAAAAGATTTCAAATGCCCTCTTAACTCCAAATGTTTTTGGTTTCATTTAGTGTGCTGTATGGTTAAGAGAATATTTTTCTTATGGTTAATAGCTCTCATGATAATGAAAATATAGCATGGCTTCCTGTAGACAGAACCCATATTTAATTAGAAGTTGTCATATAGAAGTAACCAAAGTTTTTAAGACAGCATCCAATCATAAAATTCAGTTGTAGTTTGTATTTTCTACAAATACTCAGTGGAGTAGAAACAGTAATTACTCTAACACCTCAAAAGTTGAAATAGAGTTCATTAAAGGAACAAGGAAGGGATGAATTTTTCAGCCTGTATAAGTCAGGGAAGCAGCTTTCTTTATCTTCTTCCATCCCCTCCAGCTGTTGAAATTGATTGCCTTCTGGAAATTAAAACCCACCTGCTCAGACCATGGCAGTAAATCTGGTAGAACAGGTGGTCCTGGGTGAACTGCTATATCTCTGCATAAACCTTGGAAATTTATCAATAGGCTTTCTCCAAAATAATGAGAATTAGAGTGACAAATTAACAGCACAACTTCCATGTTTGTATCAAAACAGTATGCTAAGGGTTCTGTTCTTTCACTGCATTACTCTGATGGATCTGGAATTATGCTATAAATCAGGTATCAGATGTGAATGTACATGACTCCTTTGTAGTCTCTTCTTTATTCAAGCTCTGAAACCTGAGTAAATGAGATTTTTACTTCCACATCCCAGCTGGCTTTTCTAGTGTAGTTTCAGGAAATCTAGGTTAATGAATTTCAGTTTTTCATTTATTATTTCACATATAAATGAAGTTTTGGCTGGGTATGGTAGTACATGTTTATAATTCCAACACTTAGAAGGCAGAACCAAGAGAATGGCCTCAAGTTCAAGGCTAGCCTAGGCTGTAGTGTGAGACCGTGCCTCAAATCCCAAGCAAATAAATAAAATCATGAAGATTTTCTGGTTTGGACAGTCACTATCTTTCAGTATTTTCACTTGCTGTTTCATGGGGAGAAATGAGAATAAAGTAAGATGAAGGAAACTGATATTCTTATGTCATATGAGTGTGAGTCTGACTTTTTGTATTACCTTATTTAATCTTAATAAATTTTCTCAAAGCAAAAGTCTTATACCAAAAAAGAATTTCTAAAATGAAAGGGTTTACTGAAGCTATTATAGATGCTAATCAGAAAATAAAGGACCAAGTTGGGGGACAAGCTCCTGTAACTACCAGAAGCAGGATTTGATAGCAGTTTGAAATATTCTTAGGAGCAGAGTTATAAGCACTTCTAGTGAATTTTTAGAAGGGAAACACTATAACCTGCTTTGGCTGCTGCTGAGAAGCACAGGTTAACTGAGAGCCAGGATGAGGAGGGTTTGGAGGGTAATCTATGAGGACAAGTAAGAATAGCTCCCAACTGATTCCAAGGATGAGCAGTCTGCCAAGATCACATGTGAACATGTATTAGTGATCCTGGTATTTGGTCCTGGGGGGATTTAAATAAAGCTTTAATAATTTATTCAAAAATGTAAAGTGGTCCTGCTCATTTGGGTGTGTAGTTTGTTATTGATTCACTACCACCCCCACCCTACTCTTTCCTTCCCATGCCCTCCCCACACCCCACCTCTCCTCTTTCTGTCCTCTAACCCTCTGTAATTAAGTGTTAAGGAAAGACACAGCTCTCACCTCAAAAGAACAAAAGAGATGGTTTTTGTGGAGCTGAATATGAGAGACTATGGCTTAAGAATAGACTCAGGTCTCCCCAAATACCATGTTCCAATGAGGTAGCAATTTCATGAATTTTTACAGTACCAAAACAAAAAAAGTCCCAAAGCAACACATTTTTTATTACACTATTGGGTAGATTAGGTAGGCGGAGTACAGTAAAGCAAGAAAAACTGTGCTATAGGCTTCAGATGCTATGTGATATTGTTTTTAGTCCTTCGGTTGATAGAAACTAAGGATCTGTTCATTACATCAATGTGATGCCACATTCCTGCAATGCCTGAACAAAGACAGCCTGACTCTTAGCATCCATTTCAGCTGAGAGTGGGGCCTGAACTGTTCTGATAACTTTCAGAGTTCTCCTGGAATTGTGCTCTCCACCAAAGATATTTCTCTCTCTCTTTCTCTCTCTCATTCTCACTCTTGCTCTCGCTCTTCAAACTGTATATCCAGTATCATATGATCACATGGAAAAAGAGGAACTTGTCTTATTAGAGGATTATCTCCTTTCTGACCCCTACTGACCTTGAATAGCACACACAGCCACAAACCGATGTTATCAATCTACTCTTACCAGTTGTTTGCAACACAAGTGGAATAATATGTTGCTTCCAATGGATATGGAGCTGCTTGCCACACTTGATTATTTTCACAACATACATATACACATACATACATTATTCTGGGTCAAGGGCAAGGAATACCTTTGTAAATGAGTTGTGATAGTGTCCCAGAGATCATTCTTATACATCATATATTCCAAAGAACATTAAATAATAGTCACAAAGATGTTAGGTCACATACAGAGAATGGTTATTACGGAGCTAAAGTGCCCATAAATAACTTGGCTCTGGACTTTCAACATTCCAACCTCTCCATATCATTGAAGTTCTAATCAGGCACCTTTTATCATCACATTTTTTTCCAGGAATTCATTTGTTAGACATCCCAGAAATTTTCTCTTATCACTCTCCTAGGAAGCATCCACAATCCATGTTTCTATCATTCAACAAATACTTCTGAGCTTGTTAATTATAAACCACAGTCAAGGCATACACAGTTTTTATGTTTATGGTATTTTCACTATAGCAGGGAAAACATGCAAAAATATTTAATTATTTAATTGAAATTGTAGTGAGGGTACACAAGCTCATGATAAAACTGGGTGTTGCTTAGTGGCAATAGTGTCCACTAGCATGTTCTAGGTTATACCCTCAAGACTTTGAACTAAAAAAGAAAAAAGAAAGTCTCATGATAGAAGAATTTGACCTAGACAAGGAAGGGTTGAAACCAGTAAGACACTTTCCAAACTTGGTGAATGAATGCTTTTGGATCTGAACATCTATCATCAGTTAAAGTATCTTAAAGAGTGGGTAGAAGTTAGTCCAGAGAAGGGTGTGTGTTTAGGACAACCTGGAACAGAAGGTGGAGCTGGAAGGAATCTAGTGAGGAGGCTGATAAAGGACAGAGTGGTTGTCTCCCATCACAGCCAAGGTCCTCACAGTCACAGAGGCACACAGAAGCATGAATCAACTCTGTGATGTCCAAACATAGTTTGTAACATAGTTTTTTCTTGTTAGACATAAACACACTTAAATACTTGTTTGAATCATTTGATCTTTATCTTCGGATTCCTAATCACAAACTGCATTTGCATTTTCATTCAGAAATATTTATTCCTGTGAGCTGCAGGCAGGTGTTCAGTATCCTTCTCTGCTTTGTTTTCCAGCGTTCCAACATTCCAGAGCCTTCCTGAGGAGATCCTCAGCAAGCTTGCCGATGTCCTTGAGGAGGTAATTGTTTTCAGCCTTTAAAGCTTTGGAAATGGGACCCAGCCTTCCAGCCTGGCTGGGCTAGCTTCTTTCACAGCTCTGTGATGACAAGTCACAAATTGTAGAAAGACGTTTTGGTTTGTTTTAAGCTGTGGGATGAACTATAGATTTGCCTTCAAATAAAAAACAGCTTAGCACACCCCATATTTATACAGTTAGAAACAGGTGCATCTGTTGAACTACAGATAGGAGAAGACATTTTGTTGCAGTAAATATGTTACTTTGATACAAAAGAATGATAGATAAAGCCAGATATGGTGGCACATGCCTTTAATCCCAGCACTGGGGAGGCAGAGGCAAGCAGATCTCTGCGATCAAGGCCAGTCTGGTCTACCTAGCAAGTTCCAGGACAGATGGGGCTACAGGGAGATGCTGTCTCAACAAACAAATGCAACAAAACAACAACAGAAAGAATGACAGATGGCATATTGCCGCTAACTTAAACTAGTATGAGGTAAAATTGTAGTTATTACCATCCTGAAGTTTCATATTAGCAAATTTCAAGAAGAATTAGCAACCGGATCTATATCTCATCAGAATTTGGGTATATTCCACACATACCTTTAAATGTGCAATGTGGAATGCCACTGTGGTTTTTCTCTGAATCCCTGATATGCTCTTGAGGGAGAGGAGAAGCAACGCACATTAGGCTACCTACACCTTACTGAGATGTGTAACAGAGCTGCTGCTTTCAAAGGAATTTCTATTCACACTGCAGAGTTTCCCACTGAACTAAAAGCAGGTATGTTCTGTCACTAACAGCGGGAGATTCAACTAGATGTTCCCTCTGTGCAGCCTGAGCAGTTCTTTCTCAGAGACTGCTCCTAAGTCTAGCCTGGGTCTTGATTTATGCTGCAGAAAGGAATTTTATGATGGCAAATACCCACAATTCCAACATCCAGGACACAGAGGCAGGAAAGTCAAAAACCTTGACTATATATAATGAGTTCCAGGACAGCCTGGGCTACCTGTGGCCCTGTCTCAAAAAACTGAAAAAGGAAGAAAAAAGTATTGAAGAGAAGAACAGAGGGAGGGAGGGAGAGTGAAAGAAAGAAGAGAGGAGGAGGAGGAACATCATAGCCTTGAGATCTTTGGAATCACAGTACTCAAAAAACATGCTCTATCTCTCTCTGTAAGAGATTAAGCAATAATGTTTTCATTTGCTTTTTTTAAAAATTATGTATTTAATAACCATATAATTAGAAGAAGCATTTCATTACAACAGCATTGACATATTCAATAACAATTTCCAGAGCTAAGATGTATCTCTTTCAAAATTGGCTGTAAATTTTTAACATTTACAGTTGAATTGATACAGTTATAAAATATTATACTCCGTATAAACCCTATAAGACATAAAATTAAATGAGGTTTTAA